TATATATACCAAGAATCTTTCAAAGGCGTTGTATGTGAAAGTTAATATGTGAAAGTATCTTCTGATGTGAGTAAATTGTCCAGGCCTCACGCGTTAGGGGTACGTGTGTTCAGAATGTAAGCAAAAACACTTTCATCTTGGTTTTAAAAACCATTTTAAGACGTTGAGATAAAAAAAATGTTCTTATGTTACTACACTTTCTTTGCAATTGCTTTGTAACAATAACAATATAGGCAACATGAAACCTATATTTTCTTTCAGAGAAAGGGACCACGACCAATTAGTTCAACCCTTTTCCCCTTCTTTTCCTGCGTGTCACAGGTTTCCTGACATCGGCCAAGATGTAGGCCTACATATATCTACATGCTGATAATAAATCTTGTTCTTTTAATATACCACTTCGTAGCCTACATGGAATAGGTACAGTAGTGAAAAGAAACTCATTTTCAAGTCAAAATCATAAGATAAAGGTTCATTTATATTCTATGTTTGAAAATATCATGTTTGTCTATTTTCAAGAAGAAAACAAACAATAAAAATGAACGAAGAAAAAGAAAGTTAAGCAGTAAATGTGTGTTTTATGGATATATACATATTTATAGACTTTGTTCTTCAACTGAACCTTTGTTTCATAAACAGAATGTTTTTTTGGTTCATTTCTAATAATATGATGAACAACTACCACGTTAAAGGCTGATGTGTTGAACTAGTCTTACAGAAGTCGTCTGGTCTAATGGGGATGATAGCTCAGTGTTGAGATTACGTACACAGAAAACGTCTCTTTGGAAAACAGAAGGGTGTCGCAATGAAATGTGTTTGTAATCAGATGACTTTTGTAGCAATAAGCAGAGAGGTCAGATGTTGCTTGGCCCATTACACAAGAAGACCCTTAAACTACACAACAATTTTTCCAGTCAGGAAAGAAAAACAACTGGGTCCTTTGCAAGTGCCCTCTCTTCTAATGGAAAGTAAGCTACACCGAGGTTATGCTTTCTGTCTTATATAATATGAAGTCCAACAAAACAAGAACACATAATTGCTAGACAGGGAACTGCTGCATCATGATGTAGAGAAGAACAATATGTTATTTAAACTGGAATTGGGTTTCTTGAACTCAATTTTCATAATCAGTGTACAAGCCAAGAAGAGCCCACTGTGAAAATTTCCTTCAGAGTCACAAATAATCTTCTCAAATAGTTGACTGCAAGAAGTACAACTGATAAATGTATAGTAAAAGAAAGACAACAATTTAAAAATGAACAAGTATAAGCAGGACACTACACTGACATGTGAATCCTAGTGCAGGTTTTGGATAATTAGAATAAGATCATTTTTATTGTCCAGACACTGGCACATTGGTTTGGTGTTTCACCACACAAACAAGAATATACACAAGCAAGCACACACACATAAACACCCACAGACACACTCACACACACACAGACACATACACACACATACACACACACACACGCACACACAAATTCATACACACACACACATATTCTCTTTCACACATTAGGAACTCTTATCATAATCAGAACACTTGCTTCAATAAAGGAAAGAATACCATTTATTGTATCCATGACAGGCAAGGCACACAATAAAATTCGACATTGTGGATGCAGGAAGCTGTTTATATACTTGCATCACTATTGCAAGAGAATCCAGGAATGCATAATAGATTTTAAAAAACAAAAGAAATGACTTGTGAAAAGTGAGAACACAATTGCCAAGATTGTACACATTTATGATAGGATTATTTTTTACATCTTTAATCAATGTGGAAAGAAAGATGATTTTATGTACAGTTTCTTTTATTAAAAAATGTACAATAAATGTAGTAGAAGAAGGGCATGTGCTTTTGTATGATAATATACATTTGATTTATCACCTCCCATGAGGTGCCATTGCATTTATAAGTCAATAGGTTACATGAATTACATTATAAGTCTGCACAATAGAGGAGAACACCAATATAAATCTACACATAAAGGAAACAACTTAATATAATATATATATATATATATATATATCTACAGAAAAGAGTTAAACACATCTATAGTCTACACAATAATTCTACGGAATACAGATGAGCAGCTATTAAAACAAAAAAATGGAAGTACTGTCGACATTGACAAAAAGTGTCCAAATTTTAAAGATAAGTACAAACAAACTAAGCCAAACATACAATAAAATAGGCCTAATGGTACATGGTATGTTGCAGACGCACAGAGGAATATAAAGCACAATATGAGCAATGGCTGCAGGGGATCGAGTATGAAAAAACTATCAGGAAGGAACAGCCAGAAACATTCTGGCCAACAATGAAGATACATGAACACAGAACTCCCTTGTTGAGTGTCAGTGTTTGGCAAGCTTGATTTCTTGAGTATGTCCTTCATAAGTTACTTAAGTCACCAAAGTCATCAAGCAATGCATCAGATGGTTCTCCAGCATGTCAAATAATAACATGTTTTTGAAGATACATTTCAAAGTTTTACTAATATATATATGTACTTTTTCCTCATAATCATATGCATTTCTTTCTTAGGTCAAACTAGCAGAAAGGTTCAGATTTTTCAATTAACTGAAGTTTAGGAAGTAAATGTACGATAATAATGCCCATAAAAACACCATTTTATATCTATTTCTGCTAGGACTGTGCCAACTGGATAAAACTACCGCAGTTCAAGAATGCCTAGTCTGGAATTCAAACCAGGGTTATCTGCTCCATAGTCCAGCGCAATACCAACTGAGCAAAAGGAGCTTAGGCTTTCATTTGCAAGTTCAACCTATTTAAACCAGTACATCCACTCCATTAACTATAAAATATAAATAGTACGCTAGCACATAATTCAAAATGCAAGGGGAGGCATGAAAGCTTTAACACTTTAATTGCAACCCCCCCCCTCCCTTTTGCCCCTATTCTGTATCAAGTGTTGCATTAATCTTTGACAAAAGCAAATAAATACATATATGTGGCACAGTGGGAGAATCAGACACTCGTCAATTTTTGGGCTTATGGGGTTATTGGTATCATCTTAAAGCCTGATCATTTGATTTGTTTTGGGAAAAAAAAATCCGTCTGTGTTGAATAGAAGGCGAGATATTTGTGACTGAAGAAGGGGAGGGTTGCCTGATTTCAGAGGTAAAATTAATGAAAAAATGGTTTGGTAATTTCCATAGCTTGAGAATCCTTGGAAACTGAAAATTTCAATTTTTGTGTGCCTTTTATCAATGTTTTTCAGTAAAATCCACACAGAAATGTGTTTTTAAATAGACATAAAACATGTTGAGCCAAAAAAAGGAAATTGGATAAAAATTGCCCAACGGCCACAAATGCTGGTTTTGTCAATATTTCTTTATTTTGACGAGCGCCTGATTTCACCGCGATACTTCACATATATGTACTTTTGCATAGTTCATGAACTAATGTGCTACAATTGGATGAAAAGGTGAACAAATAAACTTTACACAACATTTTGAAAAAATGAAAAATAAAAAAGACTTAACCTGTGTCTAAAATAAAAACATAAGAACCTGTCTTACATCAAGATGGAACAAAGAACTTAAAGGACAAGTCACACCTTTGAGTTGCTCTAAGGGTGAGCTGTCTTAAGTTTTGAAAGACACTGTGTGAAAATTTAGAAAAAAATGCACAAGAAACAAAGTATGGAAATGATATCTAACAGTCTGAAAATTGCCTCCTGCCCTTTAATCACTCTTGTACATCCTTCAAACTAAAAATCAGAGAAACTTTCATCAGCAGTATTTCAATGTTCACTTTACAGACAGGTTGCACATTAATTCTTCCTTAGAGCTATGTCATAAATGTGATTGATCGGACGGAATTCATTTCCGGGTGGTATCATTCAAAAGACCAAAATCTTCAATGCTTCAAATAAGAGTGACTAAAATCTAAAGAACCATGAAACCAAGTACAAAATATTTTGTTAAAAAGATCTGTCTTAAGGTGCGACAGATCCTATAAAGCACAATCAACAATAAACAGTACATATTGGTATCACATCTTACATAATCATAAATATTTCAGAAGCATTGTTTTGACCTTTCTCACAGTTCTTAAAATATACCAAGTAAGAATGTGTGCTGTCCATAAACATTAACTACCATAATATGTTACTATGTACAAACTTAAGAGAGAGTGTTAAACACTAACGCTCCAGGCATGGTCTGTCTGCTGTAATCTTCTCATGGATGGAACAATATTCTCACATAAAATTTGTCTTAATCAATTCACTGACAGTGGGATCCTAATAGCTTATTCTTAGGTCACAAAAATTTACAAGCACCTTATTTCAACCCATCATGAAACATAGAGTCTTAGCAGAAAATATTGTTGCACAGCTTACTTTTATCCCTTTTTTTAGTGTTTACCTGTAGGCCTATATAATTGTCCTAACCAGCTTCCAGTTATAATGTGGCTGACATCCAACATAAAATTGACTCCTCATTAACTGCAGTTCAGCTTCATATACTTTTAAAGCAATTATATACACATATATAAATATAGTACCTGACAAATTTTACTGCAAAAAGGCTACACCTACATGCAATATTACACTGGTTTCTTCGTCTCACAGGAGATCTTGAATAGCATGGTGTCTCTTGAACAAGGCAAAATTAATAATAATGAATAGTGAGAATCATGAACATTTATGAATGAAACAAGCTCCTCTTTCTGTTGGAAATACAGTAGAACATGACTATAGTGGCACTCACTGCAGCAGAACCATCCATACAGCGGGACCTCAGCGGAATTCCCTTTTTTTTCTTACGTAAACTCAATTACCTGTGCTCGGGTTTAGCGGGACAAGGAAAGGCACAAACTCAGATACAGCGGGAGAGATCAAGCGAGCTCTAGCAGGGGAGAAGGGGGTTGGGGGACTGTAGGCGGGCTCTAAACAGGCAGTCAGCGGTGCAGTGTTGTGATTGGCCAGTCCAGTGATGAGTGAGGTGTGGCAGGCGGCAGAGAGAAATGGTGCGGAGAGACGTGATACTGAGCCACTCCAAAAGTGGCGTAGCTTAGAAACTCAGAATGAGAGCAGATAGGCCATAGCCCTAGGCCTAGGCTGGGCCAAAAAGTAAAAGAAAAGGAGAGCGTGTAGTGTATGATTCCTGACTCATTGAATTGTAAAAGAAGAAGACAGCGTGTAGTGTATGATTCCTGATTGATTGAATTGTGATCGTTGATGCTCAGAGGCATACACTCGCATCCACTTCACCAGTTCTACAGTAGGCCTACCAGCAAATAGACAGCACAATCAAAGAAACTGAGGAAAAGACGCTTCCAACAAAACAAAAGTAAATGCTTCTCACTCTAACTAAAGGCTGAGATAATCAACGAAGTTGACAAAAAAAAGAAGACTAATCAAAAGCGCAAGTTTTATTGATATGTAAGGGAGGTAATCATGTGGCTTTTAAAGAAATTTTTCGGTAATTTCCCTTTGCGTTTCTGTTGCAGGAACTTGCCTTCAGCAGGATTTTTCTTCTAGAACAATATGTCCCACTATAGCCGTGTTCTACTGTGACACTTTTCAATATAAGTAATACAATCATATCTTTTCTCATTAGTGTCTTTTTCTTCGTATGAACATAACAATGAAAAGGTCAACTTATAATAGAATAATTCAATAGATAAATGGTACTGATACTGATATCCATTTTCTTAAGCTCTTACAACATAAGATCAAGTTCACACATAAGGAAAAGGTTTTAAACTATCACAGCTGGTAAAAAGGAGAATCCTATCACAGGCTTAATAGTAATAGTCATGACAATGAACCAGACTGTTGATACCATACGTTTGGCCAAGTCCAGTTAGCACACATTATCAAAAAGAAAGGTTGAAAGTCTCTTTACATTTACACAAATGAAGAAAAAAATACGGGCCTGTTTAATAAAAGAGCTATCTGTGTCCAGTATGATCGTGAATTAAAAACAAAAGCTGGGAACAAATTAACAGAAACTACAGGAACAAAGCATTTGAAAAAGTCTTGTCAGAAATTCTTCAACAGTAAACAGATACTTTGCCTGCAGCTTTCTTTTCAGTTTCTTTTACAGATCCCATAAAAATCTAGCAGTCCCAAAACACAATTTTAAAATCCTCGCAAAAGCATAGGCCTGCTGATCGCTTGTTCACTTTTTAACCTAAAAAAACCCACTTAAATAACAAAAAGCCTCAAGCTGCTGCTGTACGAGGGATCTATCTGTTTCTGACACATGCTGATTATAACCACATGTACAGTATAAAAAAAAAAGGTAGAACATTCCTCTTTGGACTATAATTTATGCTCCCAGAAGCCAGGGCATGTTGCAAACGGCTTAAGTAATCATGGGAAACCTTACTATGACCTCAAATTCAATACCCAGGTTTTTCTAAGTGCATCCATGTACAACGAACACAGAGCTAATCAGTTGATGTAGCTGCCAGGCTGTGGGGGTCAAAAGAAAAAATTATAAGTTATCAGTCACAAATATGTATTTGAACTCAAGAAGCTACACCTTGTCCTAGAAAAACAAAAACAAAAGATACCACGAGAACATAAGTCTTTTTAGGGAGTTCTTAAGGCTCTTTCCCAGCAAAGAAAGTCAATTCATAAGTCTGTATGCTTACCTAACTTACACTGAGTTGCAAAAGGAATTAAACTGTGGACTCAAAATTTGGTTCTTTTTAGCTTGTGACCATAGCTTTCTAAAAGAACTTAATAGCTTAAAGCACATAAAGCACATTGTAGGTCTTGGTGCAATACACACATTACCTTCCTTCTGATGATACAAATACAAACGCGTGATGAAATAGTTTTTGTTGAAAAAGTCACAGTGGCACCGACTGTAAGTCAGGAGGTGCCCTTTGAAGTGGATGGGCAAATTCTAATATCACATCAGAATCCTACTGCTTCTCCTGAATATAAGACTTCGTCACAGAACTGAATAATCCAAGGCAATATTGCAAGCTCTGGGCCTCTTGTAGTATGTCTTGCTGATTACTTCACATCTGTCTACGAACAACCTCTCAAGGAGTCTTGTGGCTCGTAATTTTGAAGCTGGTCATGATGCATTAATGAACAAGCCCAGGACTGCATTAGTTGGGATGCTGAAGTGTCACAACACTATGCAGAGGAGAGATTTATGTGCTGTCCATCAATTTCATAATTCCTAACGGATTACTTCATGGATACAGCTGCGTGAAATCTCGGAGTTTACCTTTAGAACTACTTTCAACGACTGAAAGTCATGACATAATGCACATCAGCCTACAGCTTCAACTTATTTTCGCCGAGGCATCAAGCAGCTTCTTGAACTTTGAGTCTGGGTTTTCCATAAGGTGTTGTGGAGTATCAAATTCTTGAACCTGTACAACAAAGAAGTAGTTTATGACCAGATAGTAAGATGGACTTTAGTTCGAGCAAACAGAAGTGAATCGACACATTAAATATCATTTAGCCCAGGGATTAAATACAGTGGAGTCCGCCTAAAGTTAAAGTGCTTTATTTGAACAATTGGTTAAAGCGAATGATAATCTGTGGTTCCCATTGAAACATTATTTGTTTAAGTAAAAAAAATAGTGGATAAAATTAACCCGTCACAAGGGGAAATCGGATAAAAAGAATGCCCAAATCAGAAAGAAAGAGCTCTAGTCCAGGCTCACCCGCTGTGTCGCCCCCCCCCCCCACCTCCACCCTAGATCCACCACTGCACGAAGCAACTGTTTCTAGGCGCCCACCCTACCAAAATGGTTAAACTGAACCTCAGATAAAGAGAACACTTTCTTCTGGTTCCAAAGAGTTCACTTTAAGCGGACTCCACTGTAATACAGACAGAAATAACAAAGGGAAAGAAAAGAAGTAGGCTCTACCAATGTCGCCCTCCATCCACCCATGAGAAAGATGATGGATACATTTGAAAATGGTTTCTCTGGAAAGAAGTAGAAGGAGTGGATCACACTAGACCACTAAAACTTGGATGGATTTAATAAGAACTGTAGAAAGAAATGGATGATGCAGGAGACACTATATCGCTATGACACCTAAACTGAAATACAAATGCAGGAAGGGGAAAACTGTAATAAAAAGCAACTGCATCTACAACAATAATAAGCAAAAACCTTTACAAGACAAAAGATTAAATACATACATATTGAAGTTTTTTAATTCTTAGATACAAATACGTCATGCCAATAATGAACTCAAGGAGCTAAAAGTAAAGAAAAAGAAAGACACACCAAAAGAAGATCACACATGTACACCTGAATGTAGACATTATTACTCATAACCCTTATATCTTCTCCTTGTGGGCATTGATTAACCTAGTGAAGGACAAACAAAAATTTAGAAATCGTTTACCTTTCCATCCTCCATAACTAAGATCTTATCACAGTGGGTGATGGTATTCAGACGGTGAGCTATTATCAGCATAGTGCACTTGCTGAAGGATTCTTGAAGAGTCTTCTGGATCAGAGCATCTGTCTCTGTATCAATTGCAGCTGTAGCTTCATCTAGAACTAGAATCTGTGGATGGGTACAAAGAACCTGAGCTTACCAACAAATATCAAGGCAAAAAGAGGACTCAGAGAAAAAAAAGACAAATAACATAAAGTGAGAAAAGACGGGATAAAACGTTGATGGTAAATAACGGGTGGGAAGAGATGCTGTCTGAGATTCTTTAAAAAATTTTGGACTTTAGACCTGAGATAGAAAAATCTACTTTTGAACGAAGGAAACATGCTAAAATATTTCTTACATCCTAAAAGTAGGCCTAAAGAGACAAAATCGAAATATGTCATGTCATGGTGGAATCAGGCACTTGTTGGTTTTTGGGCATATGGAATTATTGGTATCATCTTAAAGCTTGAAGTTGTCTTGCCTTCAATGGCAGTCGAGATATATGCGATCAAAGGAGGTGGGGGTAGCTTGGTATCAGAGGTAAAATTAGCAAGAAAATGGCTGCCAAAGTTTAATGACTTCCAAGCTTGAGTGTCCTTGGAAACTACAAATTTTCATTTTCTGTGCCTCTGATCAACATTTTTCAATAGATCCACAGAGCTGAAAACCAAAAAAATCTGCATTAAAAATTGCCTAACAGGCGGAAAAAAGTCTGTTCTTTAATTTTATTATTTTGACCAGAGCCTGATTTCACTCATTACCACACAAACGTCTTTTTCATATCTTGTTAAAATCACAATTCTTGGAAATAAAAATTAGCACTCGACGCCTTTGATATGATCAAGATGTGATGAACAATAAACCTACAAAGGGTAAAGTATTTCTTGCACTAAGCTTTGACCTTTAATTACTTAAACTATTTTCCCCAAAAACAGAAGTAAATTATCTTTTCATTTTAAATCATTATTTCCCCAAAGAGTAATTAAATAACGTACAGTATTGTATTTTATTTGATGACACATTTGGAAGCTGAAAAATGTGTTCTTTTCAAACTAAATAAAATTGAGGAACTCAATTGGCCATACATTTGTCTGTCCTTATCACTGCTTTAACCATGTTTACTTGAATCAAATGAAAAAGAGATAATATTAACATCATAATGAGGGACATAATTATGACAAGCAACTTTCTTTATATGTTGCCTGACTGACAGGAACTTTGAAAGGATCTAAAATCAATCTTCATTTTAATAAGTATACCTACTACAATCATCAGAATCACTAATGAGACACTGGTTTTCTAAGACAACAAGAATGATACTCAAATCTATGCTTATAAAAATGTAACAACTATATTTCTTAATAATGTTACAGATTCACTGACTTTTCAAAACAAAACATGAAAAATAAAGAATCTATACAGATTTATCACAAGTGACTTACTTTACTATTCCTAAGGAGGGCGCGTGCCATGCATAGCATCTGTTTTTCTCCAACAGAAAAGTTGAGTCCTCCCTCCTCCACTAGTGTATCAAGCTGATGCTCCAGCATCTTTATCTGAATAGACACACATGCTTGTATGCAACATGATGACATATCACTGAGATTACTACGTGGCCAAACCTCATTATACCCCCCCCCCCGCTTACTACCAAGTAGGTCCTATTGCCAATACAGTCGAACCCGTGTAAGATGGAATTGCTAGGGAGCCAAAAAAAAATTCCGTCTTAGACATTTTCCATCATAGACAGGGGAATTTATAGGGAGATGGAAGGGGGAGGTCAAAGGCCCAGCCGGTGGGATCAAGGATCGCTTGTCCGATCAGCAAGCAGTGGTCAAAACTTTGCACCCCTCAACTGCTATAATATCTGATAATGACGTGTGTCAGTCTTACTTATCTAATTACCACCAGTGCTTGCCTTTCATAGGACCACTGTTTGATCTATTAAAAACAGAAACGTTTGAACATCTCCTTTGCTTCCACCCTTAGCCCCACCCATCAGCGTAACAAGCACAGTCAACCAATGCCACCCCTAACTGCCACCAGTAACAACGATTTGAGGAACTCTTGTCTCGGCTGGCCATATGATCAGGGCGGCACGCATTGGTCAAACTAAGTTCACACCTCTGGCTTCTGGCTACCCAGGAAAGTTTCCATAGTGGCTCGCTACTCGAGCACTCTCACTGGCAGTCGTGAGATTTCATACCCACACTGCCCTGACCACCTGCATCATTCAGGGCTCACATGATGGGGTAACATCTACCTCCAAATTGCAACCCTACTCCCCTTCCTCACCCAGCTGCATTGCCATGGTGTTAAGTTTAGGGCCGGTGGAACCAAACTTGCGAGTTTTGTTTCAAATCAGGGTTGAGCGGGCAAAGCATTTTCCGTCTTAGACAGGTGAAACCCACGGAAGGGAGCAGATTTTTCTTTCCGTTTCTGCGTTGGACTGGTTTTCACTTTATACAGGTAATTAAAGAGGAATATATTAAGGGAAGAGCGGGGAAATTCCGTTATAACAGGCTTCCGTCTTATACAGGTTTCCGTTAAGGAAAGTTCGACAGTATATCAAAAGGAAAGCTTATATAAATATAGTATTTGTGTCTTAACACTGTAATAAATATACAGTATAACACAGATGGCTTGAATTCGTCATGACCGGCCTCAGTAATTTGAGGGATCTGTGAACAGGGTTATGGCAGGGACTGTATCAGCGACTGCGTCAGAGAATCAAGGGAAGCAACAAAGTTTGCTACTTTAGGGGCAAAACATTAGATTGCGTGATGCACAACCCTTCCTCTCGCCCGCTCAACATTAGCCTAAGCTAGCAAGGCCTAGGGCCTAGGCATGTGTGTCGAGCAGCACGCTAAAAATAGCACAGCTAGCTGCTTCTGCAGAGGGGGGAAAGGTGGTATTTTACCTACCTTGCTTTTTTTCGTTAAAAAAATACTTATTATTGTTTTTTTTGTCTCAAGAGCACTTATAAGGACACTGACTTCAGACCTCTATGGTGGCGTAATTAGTGAGACTATTCCATGTTCGTGTTATAACTTCGTGTAATTTTCTTACATAGATAAAGAAGGAAAAAAACCAAAGGGACCGCAGGAAAAGTTCGATGGATGCGGGATTTCGAGTCTTCTGTGTTTTACCTATCCATGCAAGACTGTATGTATAATACGTATATATATATTATTATGTAGTGTATATGTATATTGTAGTGAAAAATTATTTATTCCAATCTTCCTGATAGAGTGTTTACATGTTGTTTTCTCCCTCCAGTTTAAGCTTTACAGAAAGCTTCAAAATATACATGCATTTACAATAAAAGAAGAGCCAAAACATAAGACGTTAACCTAAATTTGTTGTTTTTCACACCCTACACAACCTACATATCAATTAATAATCAATCATACAAAGACACTAATGTCATGGTAAACCAAAAACCAATTAACAAAATTAAAATTCGAGAAAAAGATAACTAAAATTATGTCTTTGTTTCTGTTCTATCACTTAAAATAATTTCTTCTTTTAGGAAAGGCTTTGACAATTTGGAAAATACCCTGGGGTAAAAAGATATCCCCAGCCTGTATGTCCAAATGACTACAGTGGAAACCATATATAACGGGCCCGGTAATAACAGGGATCCGGTAATAACAGGGATTTTTTTAATCCCCGTTTTTTCCTACTCTTTATCTCTATTAAAAGTTATCGGCAATAACAGGGCCTCATCAGAGCCCAATCGGTTGTGGCAGGGACAAAGGCCTGCCACATGGCCAAAACCCCTGATCGTGGGTACTCGAGGCAAGGGGAACTACCCATGAGTAGATACAGCTAGATTAGTCCACAAATGCTTACTTCTCGCGCATTTCTGATCTAACAAGAATCTAATATAACAGGGCTTTTACTCTGGTCCCACCATCCCTGTTATATCAGGTTTCCATTGTATTGAATAAACCCATATCATTTACCACACTCACCATGTCCACCATATGACATTTTCTCAAAACCTCCCAGATATCTGCATCAGTAAACTGTTGAAATGGATCTAAGTTGTACCTGAAAAATACAACACATTAAATTTACGATAAACAAAAGGAATACTAATTGTGCTATAATGAGCTAGTTTAAAGCTTTGGAGCCCTGACCTCCTGCAAGGCTACCGGGGCCCCTCTGCTTGAGCTCCTGAGCGATTCACGCCTTCATTCATATCATCATCAGAATCACTTTCCATATCCCACTCAGGGTAGTCCTCGTCATGACCAACATCTAATTAATTCAGAAAGATCTTCAAAGTTATCAATAACGTTGTGTGTAGTAAACACAGTTTCCAGTGAGAGTTTTGTCCAAGGCTGGCTGGTTTGGGGATAGGGTTTCCATCACTGGTGTACCTTTGGCAAGGCATACAGGCAATTTTACGCACCACCTGTGTACTGGTGGAAAGCATTCAGGGTTAAACAAATAGGCCTACATTGAAGTGAGTAGACTTGTAAGTGTACAGTTGAGTATATACTTTTCTTCTAATCAGTAAAGGATCATTCTTTTCTCAGTCTACAACCTAAACCAAAATAAATATTTAAAAAAACGACTGAAATTTGTTTGAGACGAAAAAAGTCATTGACCTAATTTGGCGAATTCATGGTTAGAGTCAGACATGAATCATATATAAAGATAACTCTCTCTAGGATGCGACTATAAGGACTCGTAAAAACTGCACCGAGATGAGGTATATAATATTACTCTTTTAGGGAAGTTAAAAACTTGTTATAGTTGATACTGATTAAATAACCCTGTCCGCACGTCATGTTTTACTATCGTATCCATTCCACGTGGGGAACTCTGTGGCACCACTTTCCATAGAGGAAATTTACTCATTAATCCAATCCGTACGCTTTGCATAGCAGTCTCAGAAAACTATTTTTTGAGAAATACTGAAAGTTTCAAAGAGATCTTCGTACTAGAAGTATTCTAAAATGTGAAGAAGTAAAACCCCGGGGGTACAAAATGACCCCTGGGCGTACGGATAGGGTTAATATTCAATAGCTGATGAATAATCGCCCTATGGTTTTTTGCTATACCGAAGAAAATACAAGCTATGAAGGCATTCTTATATGGTATTTTTGTTCGGTATATAGGAAACAAAAGGCAATGAAAGTAAGAAAGTTAGTAAGTGTATTTGTTAATAAATGCTAAAATCATTGTTCTGTCTATATGCATCAAAACAGGATTTGTCTGGGTTGTGAATAAACAAATCTTCTACAAGCAATCTCTTCACATTTTTACATCAAGAGAAAAGCTGCGAAACCAGCTAAAGTGGAAACCATATATAACAGGCTGGCAATAACAGAGATCAGGTAATAACAGGGATTTTTTAAATCCCTGTTTCTTCCTACTCCTTATCTCTATTAAAAGTTATCGGCAATAACAGGGCCTCATCAGAGCCCAATCGGTTGTGGCAGGGACAAAGGCGCGTTAACTACGTGTAAAGAGAGAGAGAGAGAGAGAGAGAGAGAGAGAGAGAGAGAGAGAGAGAGAGAGAGAGAGAGAGAGAGAGAGAGAGAGAGGGAGGGAGGGAGGGAGGGAGGGAGGGAGAGAGAGAGAGAGAGAGAGAGAGAGAGAGAGAGAGAGAGAGAGAGAGAGAGAGGGAGAGAGAGAGAGAGAGAAACGCAGTGATGGAGCAAGACCACTCAAGCCACATCACTGCAAGCACACGCAGCGGGTGAAGCGAAAGAGGGCTGCGGTGTGCTGCAGACTTCGATCTAGCCCTAAGCCTAGCTACACGCACGTGTATTGTGTCATGCGCAGGCTTGTCACATGGCTACGAGAAAGGGCTGCGGAGTGCTTGAGGGTACTTGTGGCAAGGGAAACTACCCACGAATAAATACAGCAAGATTAGTCCACAGATGCCTATTTCCCTTGCATTTCTGATTTAACAGGGATTTGATATAACAGGTCTTGATTTTTGGTCCCACCATCCCTGTTATATCAGGTTTCCACTGCAGATAGCTCATACTTCAGAGGTGGAACAGATGGGTGGACTGTGTCAAAACACTCACCTAACTGTGCCTGAAAACAACACAGGGTCCTGAGGAATGATGGTGAGTTTCGAGCGAAGACTGTCCACTCCGATCTTGGAGATATCCATATCATCTATCCGAACACAACCAGACTGAAGTTCAACTACCTTGAATAGGGCTGTAGTTAATGAGCTTTTACCTGATAAAAAAGTTTAAAAAATAGAGAATGAAAAGCTTTTTACAGCTATTTTTTAAAGTATTCACTACGATATGTGAGGTAGCATGGTGAAATCAGGCGCTTGTCAAAACCATGAATTCAAAGGAATTCAATTTCCAGTTTCCAAGAACTCTCAAGCTTTGGAAGTCACCAACCTTTGGCGGCCATTTTCCCGCTAGTTTTACCTCTCATACCAGGTGACCCCACCACCTTCAATCGCAAATATCTCAACTTCAATTCAAGATGGAGAGGTTTTTTTTTTTTTGCCAAATGCAAGACAAATGAACAGGTTCAAGCCTCAGCTCGGTCCGACGTCGTGTCCTTGGGAAAGGCACTTTACACGAACTTCCCACTTGGCTCGGTCCTATCGGAGACGGACATAAAACTAGGGGTCCCGCCCCTTAAATATAACCTAATAGTGTTGATAGGGGCGTTAAACCCATACCATTTCACCATTTTTCACAAATGAACAAGCTTTAAGAGCTTGAAGAGCACCTGATTCCACTGCATCGTGACACATATAATGTATCTTAGTGTATCTTCCACCCACTTCTATCAATATTCGAACATTTCAAGCAGGTGGCTCTACTGTCAGGTTTTGACTGTACTTTGCCAGTAATTTCCCCTTTTAATTTAAAGCTGTTTTGCTAAAAATAAACAAGTTGAAAGCATTTGAGTGAACAAATGATGTTTGTCAAACGCGGTCAAATTTTTTTTCCCCGTGACATGAGGCTAAAATTATGTGGCACTTAAAAGGAGTTAAAGATCATGAAAAGAAATATACCTGCACCCGTTCTCCCAACAATGCCAATCTTTTCTTGGGGCTCAACTATGAATGACACATCATTTAAGGCCAGAGGCAAGCTGTCCCTATACCTCAGGCTCACTCGGTCAAAGGCGATCCCCCCACTGGTGGGCCAGTATGAGGAGGGAACAATATCAGCTGTAGCTGACGAAGATTCTTGATCAGTAATCTGATGGAGGATGACAGAAAAAGGGGTTAAGACAAAAAGCAAAAAAAAGAGAGTTCTGTTTGGACAAAAACCCATCTCATATTTTATGAAGAAGTTAGATCTGAATAGTCTTTAATTCAAGTCAATAGAGGAGGCAACTTTTACAGTAATTGAGTCTTAGTGAAAGCATAAATCATTTTGAATTTTGGCTTTATTCAGAAGTAATTGAAGAATATTAGCACTTCTCCCACACGTAACATGCCAATCCTCGAAGATTTTTCAATAAATGGCTCATCCATCAGTTCGAGACATAAAACAAATAATGTTCTAAACAGTGCCAGTGGTAACATTGATTAAAAAAAGTGAAGATATCATTTTCCAGGGATGACAAACAGTATACAAAGATTGCAACCTAATTGGTAGTGACATTTGAATTTTAAAGGATCACTGGAAAAAGGGGGGGTGGGGGTGGGGTGTCCTTTTATGAGGGTTAGATAATGCAGTACAAGAGTATTATGTACATATTATTTCTATCTTCAACTCACAACAATAGCATTTCTCTAAAGCAAACTTACATTGCAATATTTAAGGATCCTTTGTACAGATGTAAATCTGGCTTCTACCTCAATAAAAAATCTAGCTGTAAACTGGAACAATCCTGACATCTGCAAAATAGAAAATTGTCCCATTAAATCAAAGCATCTTGTAAGGAAGATGAAGCAAAAGACAAGCATGTGCAAGGCCATAAGACTGGAAAATACAACCCATTGATTTGGTATTTCATTAAACATATATACCACCATTATTGAAATCTATTATATATATAATTCTTCAAACTAGAATTAAAGGCGAAAAAGAAAAAGAACCCTTATTTATCCTTGCAAGCATTTGGGTTAAAACATGACATGAATACATTCATAAACATTCTCAGATGCAACTATTACACTATGCAAAGAAAACTAGAAAAACTGAATAATGTTCAAATGCTGAACACCACAGCTGGCTGCTGTTTTTCAACACCCCCCCCCCAAAAAAAAATCCACTGTGGTTACAAGGCAGTCAGAGTACTTGACATGAAAGCCCAAAGGGAAAAGGTGCGAAAATAACAAAGAGTTGGAGAATAGTAAATGCACAATGTCCACAAGTTCATGTCTGTCAAACTTTTAATTACAAGTCCCATCTCCGACTTCAACTCAGAAATGAAAGAGATCCAATATAACATTGGCATTCCACTAGAGCTAAAGACAAACCTATCTGCTCTAAAAGGGGTTAACAGAGAGAGCAATTAAATGATGCACAGAAAGAACAGAAGCGGGAAAAACCCAAGATTAACTGGGCGACTGAAGGGTACCACAGGCCAATCCAACCAAATTCTTGCCAATCCCTCTCTTACTTTAGTCTATCAACTCAGATTTTTCCCCAATGCTAAGTGACCTTTCTCATATCAATGCACATCTCTTCAACTCAAATCAATAAGATCTTCTCCATGCACCATTCAATCCGCCTTGTGCTTTAATAAAGAAAGACACAGTTGGACGCTTTAAAAGTATAAAAAAATCCCAAATTTCTCACCTGTACACTGTATGACAGCGCAAGCCCAGCCAGCGCTGGGTTCAAATGGTCATAGGTTACGAGAATGAGAAGCCCTGTTATAAAGGCAACAAATGCACTCACAGCATCCATTCTGACAGCCAACCAACGGTTGGCAGCATAATATAAGAACACAGCCACAGAGTTAGCATTCAGGAGCTCACAGTGTCTGAGGGAAAAGAAAAAAGCAAATACTTTTCAATGAACCTGAGAGTGGAAACTAGATACATTATAATATAAATAGGTCAAACACAGAAGACTCGAAATCCCGCATCCGTCGAACTGTGCCTGCGGTCCCGTTTTTTCTCTTCTTTATCTTTGTAAGGTATCCTTCGAACAACAGATCCCTCAAACTACCGAGGCCGGTCCAACAAATTTGAGCTACTCATGTTATACTGTAAACACTTTTCAGATTATATTTGTGTGAAATTTAAAAAAAAGAAGAAAGTATATTCCACTTCAAATTGACATGGAATACATAGAGAAAAATGTAAAATGCTAATACATTACATGACAAAGGATCTTTTGAACGGTTTCCTCTGATGTGCAAGACAGCAAAATAAGTTCATGGTCACCTAAACCAATTGTCAGCCAAACAGTTTATGATCAGCTTTCGTCACCTGTCAAACTAAACTCATGTAATTTGCAAAGCAAGTTTTAACAGTTGCCCTGGTCTGAGTATCTGCATGCATAAGCTTTTTCAAAAAGGAGCTGAAGGAGGCTAATCCAGATTGCCAGGTTCATTAAACTAAAAAAAAAAAATCTTAACATCTTAAATAAACAATTGAAATACTAATGATGTATCTGACAATGAGTGATATATATATATATACGTACCAATGGCCATCATCTATGAAGTCTCATGGTTTTACTATCATAATAAGAAAGGCTTTATAATAATAAAATTCAAACTTCAATTTTGTTGCAGCAGTACAACTACAATGGTACAAATTTATATAATTTCCATGGACAATCTCAAGATGAATTTTGTGACAGTGAAGAGGTTAATAACAAATTGTCTGTATTCTGCTCATAGCTCCACCTTTCAATTCAGCATCTTAGCTGTGAACAACACATCTGTACAGAGCAAACTACAGTGATCTTTATGATTAACTTTATATGGAAGAATTACAAAAAAAAAAGCTGCATTTCCAGCCAAAGTATTTGAATGGGAAAACTTACTTTTGCACAAAAAGGCCAGTCTTGTTATATGCCTGTATACTGGTTAATCCTTGCACGGATGCTCCCATATGACTAATGACCGGAGATCGAGTCACATTGTCCAGCCGCTTCATGATAGTGACGCATGTATGAAACAAGAACACAAGGAAGAAGAATAGTGCTCCAATTGGAATGACGGCTATGAGGAACCATGGAGACACATATGAAATCATTGCCATGCCAGCAATTACTTGAAGAATATTTGTGACAAAGATCTCCACGTTCATCGGAAGACGCATGTCAACTGAGGAATAAACATAAGTGACAATGCAGATTAATAGTTTGCCTCATAAGCTTGTGGCAACTAAGAAACTATGCAATTTGTTGGGTGTACATGTTTTCTACATCAAACAGTACAAACCAAACTACAGTTGGGTACAGAAAACATTAACTTGGAAAACTTGAAATCCTGGATAACTTGTACAATTTTTTGCTATTCCCGGACTGATATATCTTTAAGTTTCCACTTTACAGTTACCCAAATAATGATGTCAAACACATTTGTCAATCCCCAAAGTGTTTCAGTTATCCGTTTCCAACTCTATTTCAAAGACAGATTACTTTGACCCTGCTTGAGTGGGACTCGTCTCAGCAGAAGGACTGAGATGCTAGATAAAATATTTCCTAACCTGTGAATCCAACTGATCATGCCTTTCGAGTACAAGGCAAAGAGTCCCACCACTTTACTACAAATGTAAATAAATTTGGTGAGCATTGAATTTTTACATTACGAACAGTCAACAAACAGTCTTAGCACTGCATCACTGTATGGGTTCCCCCAATTCACAGAAGATGCTGAAACGATACACTTGCTGTAATTCAAAACAATTTCCATTCAGTTATAATACTGAATAAACATGTAAAAAACCCCAGTAAAATTACAAGACATAAAAACACTGAGATTAGACAATATCATCAGTTCACTAATGATTCTCTCTTCTGCAAAACTCCCAATTGCCAATTGAATATTATTTAACTCATTCGCTACGCCGAGCCGTGGGCAGCGACACAGCGAAAGTGTCTTCCGTACGCCAAGCCGCTCCCGACGGTTCGAGAACCGACTTATAATTCCAGCTTAAATTTTATTCCAATCCACATATCCATGTTACAATAAAGGTTATAATATAACATTGACTTCCGGGTCAAGAGTATCCACCGAAAATCGGAAGTTTAGATTCAGTTTTGAATAGCGATTTCGAAGTTTATGCGACTTTGTTTTATCGCGATGCCCAAATTATTGCCCATACACCAGTCTCAGTACTTTATACAGCAAAATGTGTCATTATTTTGCTCACTAAAGAAAAGTAAGACTCTATTTAGAAAAATGATACAATTGGACTCTAATCTTAATTGTAAAAATATTTTTTTCTCCCCGAAATCACTACTTTTTGTTGAAATTACACAAAATGTACCTCTCAAGACATGTATAGGTTTATTCCAAATGGAATTCTGAATGATTTCATATAAGATACAAGTGTTTTTATTCTGTTTGAGAATGCATCTCGTCCTTTCTTCAAGATAATAAAAATTTTTTTTTAAATGTTCAATATCGGATGTTATGATCCAAATGTACACATTTTATAGAATGTATGTAAATAGCTGCAAATTTTTCAATATTTTCCAGTTCTATATTCATTTATGGTTATTTTGATGTATCATTTGACTAGGTGCATAAATATTTTTTTAGTTTTACCAAAGATTATTAGTTTTATATTTTAAAAGTTTATCCGCATCCAAGCAAAATTGTGTTTCATAATCGCCTCTTACATTACAGATATTCTACAAGGGAGTGCATACAGACCCGGTATAACCGGGAACAAAGTCACAAAGCATACAGGCCCGGCAGGGAGATCTTTTGTGATTTCGGAAAGTTTCAGCGCCTTCTTGGCTCAGGGTAGACTTAGGTTCTTCTAAATCTATGACCTAGGTCCAGATCTAGACATACAGACATAGACTAAATCATAAATCTAGTTTCGAGGCCTAGATCTAAATTATGAAGATTGCGCATGTCTTTTCGATGAATGATCGTTTTTCCTCCGTTTTGGAGTTGGAGGAATCAATAAGACAATTTTAAGAAAAGAACAATGTCATAATTTCAATCGAGCAGTCACCCTCTTTATTTCTCTTCTCTCTCTCTCCCCCCTCCTCTCTTCCTCTCTCTCTCTCTATGTGTATCGCTTAACTCCTCTTTCTCTTTGTTTGTCGCTGTCTTTCTTTCTCCCCCACCTACTTTCCCACTCGATCTTTCTCTCATCCCCTCCTGTCAACTGGGGCATGTGCTATTTGCTAGCACTTCCCCCTGTTCTCTACCCCCCCTCCCCCCACTCTCTCTCTTTCTCACACACATACACAAGCGCACGCACACACACACACACTCACATACACACACACACGCACATGCACACACATACAAACACTATACCGGGTCTGGGTGCTGAAACTTTCCGAGATCACAAAAGATTTCCCCTATCGGGTTTGTATACTTCGTGAATTTGTTCCCGGTTACCGGGTCTTTACACATTTCGATTCTACAAACCATACTGAAAATGTTGGTATATAATATGTTGATATTTATTTGAATTTGTGGCCCCAAAGGCCTGTGAACTGCGCACTAGTCACCATCTCATTTCGCCCTCCCGAAAAAAATTTGCCCACAAGCCGAAAATAATACGTAGCGAATGAGTTAAACAAATAGATATATAAAAATGTCTTTCCATAGTAACGAATAAATGCTGTATCAAGCAGGCACTTTACTACAAATATCTTACTCTCATCCTGATCAGCTGAAAATCGGTTGACAATCCGACCAATTGGTGTTGAGTCAAAGAAGGACAGAGGCCAACGTAAGACACGGAGAAAGCCTTTGTCGTGCAAGTAGCTGGAGGCTTTCAATACCACCTGGTGAAATACGAATTTCTTTACTGAGACATCGTGGTGAAATCAGGCGCTCGTCAAAATAATAAAAATGAAAAAACAGGCATTTTTCCGCCAGTTGGCCATTTTAATTGAAATTTTCTTTTTTGGCTCAATACTTTTCATGTCCATATAATGACACATTTCCATAAACTTGTATTTGACTGATAAAGCGTTGATTAAAGGCACAGAATATGTAATTTTTCAGTTTTCAAGACTCTCAAGCTATTGAAGTTACCGCACTAATTTTACCACTGAAACCAAGCGACCCCACCTTCTTCAATTGCAAATATCTCAACCTCTATTCAAGATAGATCGCTATTTTTTCATTGAAAGCAAAGCAAATGAAGAAGATTTTAGATGATAGGCCTACTAATAACTCCAAATGCCCAAAAATTGACACTTGCCTGATTCCACTGCGCTGTGACACATTTTTGTTTGGGGTAAAGTTACAAAAAAAAGATTGCCCAAATGAGAACCATGACCAGGTACTTGTGATTCTTCAAATAAAAATAAGGAAGGATATAATGAAACAAAATGAAAATTTGTTGTACTTTGCCACTTGTTCAAATAAAAACTTTACCAGAAAACCCCCTGAAGTTGATTTGAGTGACTGAGGAATGATGCCGACAATGTATATCAGTCAGTGGAGGAGGATAAGCATCACAACATACATTTTATGAACAACCCCCACCACTCAAATAATATGATCCCCTAATATCAGTATTTTTTACATTTAAATTAAGAAATAAAATTGAGAGCAAAGGTAAGTTCTGAGGTTCAACTTTCAAATATATGCCCTATCCTGACATGAACATTATTTTAAAATTATTTTAATGATCGGAAATGATTTTCTTGTACTTGGATAAGAGGTGTCATAACATTAAACAAGAATTGAAAGTAGTACTTTAAAAACTGTTCTTCACAAACTCTATTCGTTAGATGCAACTACAAAAAGGGGTTTACATAATTAGTAAATGTGAGACCATAATGAAAGGTAAAAAACTGGCATTCTTTATATTCTAGTAGGAAATCTGAAGTCATAAAATTGGCTGAAATCATTGTTGCTCAGTATTCAATCTTGTAAATTGGTCACCTTATTGTGAGGGACACATATAAAATAATGAAAATCCTCACCTTTGTAAGAGTAGCTGATCGCAGCAACATAGTTATGATAAGAATAGGAATGAACAAAGCATAGATGGTGAGATACTCGTCTCTGTCTGGATGATCTATCACTCGTTTGCTTGGCTTTGTAAGGTTCCCAATGGTCATGTTTGACCCCTGAAAAAAGTATGAGTATTTTAAGTATTATATGTATCTTGCTTTAACTAAGCAAAATGATAGGTACAAAATATATGTAGTTCTATGGGTATGAGTATGAGGTAAAGTGCTGCGCAAAGTTATTGTAAGAGGACAAAAAAATCTTGAGCTCAAGAAGTACGAATTCTTGGACAGTCCTTCAAAAAAGTAGCTCCAAAATTGTGAGCTTCAGTACGCAAATAGGCATGTGCTCCCCAAATATAGATGTGCACAAAAAGTTTATAACACCCATACACAGATAGATAAAAATTAAAACATGCCTTTCTATACCGATAAAAGCACAGAAAAACACACACACACACACACAAACACACACACACACACACACACAAACACACACACACACACAAACACACACACACACACACACACCACACACTTGTTAAATATAATCATTGTGCAAAGTCATACAAAGTTATCTAGGTATAGTTTCTACTATATATATATATATATATATATATATATATACCTACGCATCATGGGGGAATAAAAAGACCACAGGCCAACTACAAGTGAAACATAGCACTGAGAAACACCTCATACTTCACTTGTTGTAAAAAAACATGGACAGTTACATGATGAGAGTTATTATGAATTGGAAAAAGAGGATAGACAGATAGAAAGAATAAAGGCATAACAAAGAAGCAGTAACACCTACAAGTGGTGGACTCCAATTTAAGCACCTAGACAACACATCCTTGATAAAATATGTAAAAAACCCCCCCCATACATTTAAAGTAAAAGAATCTAGTATTATATGATTAATGCCCATAAAGGCAGTATAAGATAAAGTACTGCACTGCCCTCCCCCCATCCCCCACTCTCTCCACCTCTCACCCCCACCAAAACTAACAACACAAACACAACAGTAATGAGTCTACTCACCCCACCCCCTTGCTCCAACCAGTGCGACAAATACCAGCCAGCAACTGTAACACCAACCACGGGCAACATGAAGCATAGCAGTACAGCGGCAAAAACTGGGTAGCCTCCCATGCCTTCAATGTACTGCTTCAAGACGGTGAAATGTAAAGAGCCAGTACCAATTTCTTCTTCTTCTGTCAACTGTCCTGGATTGAAAAAAACAAAGAAGAATAAAAGAAAACTTAAAATTTATGACAAAGGATAAGAATAAAGATTTTTTTTTTTCTCCTTCTCTTTCTCTTTTTCACTCTTTCCCTGCCCTCACTTGTGCTGGATGTTTAGGAACATACACAAGGCATACTTGAAACTTAATAGGAAAAACAACAACACTTCTCATACTGAAAAATTAAAAAATTAGCAATGCTGTCACTAAAAATGGTTTGATACATCTCTCAAGACTGGACTGTAATAGCACGATTTGCTAGGTTTTCATCTCAGAAAAAAAAAATTGTTCTCAAATATGAAAATCTCAGGCACTTTTGTAATAAGCACAAAATCTTATATTCGTTGCCTACACTCAGAACTGAAAGCATGGAGGCAAAATATATTTGCTGTAAATAACACATTTATGTCCAACAAACAATATTTTGTTATGAGCTGCCATTAAAAATGGTGATAGGCAGTCTAATTATTTAGAAAGCTGTTTAAAATCTAAAATCTATTTACACTCGATTTTTAGCGTTTTAACAATTTTAATTAGAAATTTTGACCAGAATCAGGCTGAGCAGTGAGCTGTTGAGAAAAACCAACTTGTTTCGCGTGCTCATAATATAACCTTATGCAGTTGCGAGCGCCGTAAAACCCCATACTAAAAAAGAAAAGTCTAATTTTCTTACTTAGAGCAGAACATTTTTTTCTCTTAATCTCAGCTCAAAATATCTGTCTTTGAAGAAAATTGTTATTGACAAAGCAATTCAAGAATCAATGTATTTCTGTCAACAAATAAAAGAAATGGTCAAAATCATTAAGCAAAAATTTTGAATATGAGTCTCGACAAACAGTAGAGGGAGAGTTGTTAACTTCATTTCCAAAATTTGGTAAAACAGTGTAGTTGTAATAATTTTCTCTAATTGTGCCCAAAAGAAAAAGATTTAACTCATTTGCTACGTCGAGTTGTTTGCAGCGGCGCGGCTAAAGTTGCTTCCGTACGCCAAGTCGCCCCCACCCGGACGGCTCGAGAACCGACCTATAATTCTAGCTTAGATTCTATTCCAATCTACATATCCATGTTAAAATAAAGGTTATAATATAACATTGACTTCCAGGTCAAGTGTTTCCACCGAAAATTGGAAGTTTAGATTCAGTTTTGAAACACAATTTCGAAGTTCATGCAACTTTGATTTATAGCTATGTCTAAATTATAGCCCAGACACCAGTCTTAGTACTTTTACACGACAAAATGTGTCTTCATTTTTCTCACTACAGAAATGTAGGACTCTTCTTTAGAATATTGATACTATTGGACTCAAATTGCCAGAGCTCTGTTATTGAGAAATCAATATCTTTGAGTGCTAGATCTAGAGGTCTAGATCTAAATTGTCAAAATATCTTTTTCCCCACAAAATCACTATTTTGGGGTGAAATTACACAAAATGCACCACTCAAGACAAGTATAGGTTTATTTCCAAATGCAATTCAGAATATGTCCATATCAGATACCGCAGTGTTTTTTTTTCTGTTTGTGTCCTTTTTTCAAAATTGTTTTTAAAAAATTGTTTTTTTTTCATATCGCGGATGTTAGGATCCAAAGATACAAATTTTAAGGAATGTAAGTAAATAACTGCAAATTTTTAAATAATTTTCAATTCTATATTCATTTATGGTTATTTTGATGTATCATTTGACTAGGTGCAAACAAATTTTTTCAGTTACACCCAAAAAAGATTATTGGTTTTTCATTTTCAAATTTTATCCGCCTGCAAGCAAAATTGTGTTGCATAATCGACTCTTACAGGAACCAAAGTTGAAAAATACACAAATAAACATTACCAGATGTATTCTACAAACCACACTGAAAATTTTGGTCAATAATATGTTGATATTTATTTGAATTTGTGGCCCCAAAGACCAGTCGAACTGCACACTAGTCATCATCTCATTTCGCCCTCCTGAAAAAAATTCTACCACAAGCTGAAAATAATACGTAGCGAATGAGTTAACCGCTTTATTCATTGAAAAAGGCAACTGGTATAGGAGGCCTCTAGATACTTTACCTGTTGGACTATTCTCTCCTGACTCATGGGGAACTTCAGTAATTTCCAACGTCTCCACTTCGCTGGAGGTAACAGGGGCACTCCCACAATCCCCGGAAATGCCCGCATCTCCATTAGGGACCTCCACATCTGAAGACTTTCCTTCATCGACTACATCTGTGAAATTGAAACATACAAAAAGGCACTTAATTGGTACTTCATTTCGTTAAACTTCGTTTGATACTTACGCAGTTGCGAGCGCCGTAAAACCCAGTACTACTACTACTGATACATATCTGGCAGACCAAGAGGGTATCTAAAAAACATTGAAGATCGGAAACAGTATGCCTCCTCATTCAGTGGCATTGATAGTCTAGAGGATGTAATTGTAAGACTACAAGGTTCAGGAGTTGGAGGCTCAGCTGCATCTGACATTGTGTCCTTCAGAAAGGCATTTTACATGGGTTTTCCCAATTCCCCTCCTATCACAGTCAGAGATGGATGTTAAATCTGGAGGTCCTGCCTCTTAAATAATCTTACAATGTTGCAAGGGGAGTTAAACCTTTACAATTTTGTACACTTTTTTCATCTTAGTTCTTACACTCTACGTTTGCATACTTATTAATCCTTCCCTTACACACACCCTCAGACACCCATCTTTCCCTCACCAAACTAGTCACCCTGTTAGAGAAGGACACCAGTCTAAAACATGACTATTTCTCCCAAGCTCTCCCTTTCAGTTGTACCACAAACATCAAGATAACTTCACAGTTCTCTGGAAAAGTTAAAGATGTAGACAAATTTGCCTTTCCCTACATTATTACTTGCCGAACACTCCAACACCAATTAAGAATTTATCACAGAGTGGGCAGAAGAAAAAGAAAAAAACCATTAGAACAAAAAGCAGACATTTTACCTTCTCCTGGCCCACTTCCTTCACTGCTTGATGAACTGGTTACGGACTCTCTCTTCTTAGCTGCCTCACTCTTGTTGTAATATAATTGTAACAGATTATTATACTCTCCATCAGCAGCTACAAGCTCATCATGATGTCCTAGCTCCACCACTGCTCCATCTTTCATCACCAAGATTGAGTCACACTTTTGCAAGTACTGAAGAGAGGAAAAGATCAGACATCACAACAAGAATTTAAATGTTTTTTTCAAAGAAAAATTTCACTTTACTTTTACACCAACAAACAGTATAGGGACTCATGCTTAGCAGTTACTTTGGTCTTTAATTTTCTGTTTGCTTTCCCCCCCCCCTTATACATGTTCTTCTAAGATTATGTAGGCCTATATTTTTGTACGCTATTGTGAAACAAATTTTCCAAGGGGATAAAAAAAGTGAAATTGACTGATTGATTGATTAATTGATTGAATGAATGATTGATAGATTGAACTATTGATTTATCTAAATTGCCTTTGCTCACTTTTCATTGATACTGTGTATCAAATCTGATAAAATTTTGATCCAAAATCTAAGAACAAAACAAAAAATACACCTGGAAATAAAATGTTTGTTTGGCCACCAAAAATATTTCCTTGAAAAGAAAAGAATTTAATTACTTTTCCATTCAAGCATAGCTTAGATAAAAAGTGCTGTTTAAACTTTTCAACCTCATACCAGTAATATAGGCCTATAGGATATATAGAAATCTTTAAGGAGCTGTATGTTCCCCTTCCCACAAGGATGAAATGATTATTGGATGAAACACGACAGCAAATAGCAATACAATAAGTCAACCTTTTGGAAGACTGAGACTATAATAAATTAGCACTATTCACTTACTTGCAGCTGATGAGTGACGAGAACCACAGACCGCCCTTTCATTACGCCCATTATCAAGTGCTCAAATATGTGTTGACCAACGTGGACATCCACAGCAGACAAGGGGTCGTCAAGTAGCACCAAGTCACAATCACTGTAGGCTGCTCGAGCCAATGAGATCCTCTGTTTCTGACCACCACTCAAAGTTGCACCGCGCTCACCTATCTAGTAAATGAAATGATAAAAGTATTAATATTGAGAGGCTTTTGAATTTCGCTTTCAGGGTGGGCAGGAAGGAAGGAGGGACAGAAAGGGAGAGGGAGAGGGGGAGGGGGGGAGAGGGAGAAAGAGAGAGAGAGAGAGAGAGAGAGAGAGAGAGAGAGAGAGAGAGAGAGAGAGAGAGAGAGAGAGAGAGAGAGAGAGAGAGAGAGAGAGAGAGAGACAGAGAGACAGAGAGAAAGATAGTTTATAAACTGAAGTAGACAAAAAGTGTATATATAAGCAAGACGTAGGACAGAATCTGCAGTACCTTTACCACACTTTAAAATGATCATACATTTTAAATAAAGTAAAGAAATTAAACCTTGCTGAACACAATACGGTGGCAAGGAAAGTGTTGGCAAGGAAAGAGTTGGCAAAGATATTTGGGATAAAAATAACGTTACCTTTTAAATTCTTAAAGCAGAGGAGAATCTCATCATTATCTTTCTTTCAATTAATCAATTGCTTCATTTTCTAGACCAACAAACCTCACATTTTCTTTGACATGACCTCATTTTAACATTATGAAACTACCATACACAAGCTATTAACAATCATTTATTTTTTCATTGACTCATTGTGAAAAATATTAATTCACAGCTTACTAGCAACTAGTAACATCATAACCTAATATGTTTGCGACCCTGCTTTGAGAAAAACTGCAGTTGAAACAAAAATAGCAAATGAACCAACAGCGCCTTTCAATCTGATGCCTTTCTTGTATTTATAAAATATAAATCATTATTGTCAGCTGATAAATTACTTGATTGTAATTGAATTTCAGCTAATCAATACAATGGTGGAACTAAGTTACCTCTGTGATATCTCCTGCTGGCAAGGACTTGATATCTTCTTTCAAAGCACAAGCCTCCATAACTTCATTATATCTGCATGAAGTGGCAACAAAAAAAAATCAGAAGAAACTAACAAAAAAGAGTGTGAACCATTGTTCCAATATTGAAGATAAATGCTCATATGAGTATCATAACGCGACCCCAGTACTTTCTTGTCATACCTCAATTTTTAATAACAGTTAAAATAGTTCATAACAAAGGGTGAGCTTAAGAAGATGTCACATTTTCACAATTAAAAAAATGGAGATACGATAAAAAAGCACTGGGGTCGTGATAAGGACCTGACAGTTTTTTGAAAAATTTTACAGAGTGAAATTGCAAAATTTTGGCATCTTCTGTTTCTATAATACTCAAACAGCGTACAACTGATCTGTGAATGACTATATGTGTCATGATGTGGAGGAATCAGGCGCTCGCCAATTTCTGGGCATGTGGAGTTATTTTATCATCTGAAAGCTTTTCATTTGCATTGCTTTCTATGAAAGAAACACCCATTTATCTAGAATAGAAGTCGAAATATTTGTGATTGAAGGGGGTGAAGGTAGCATGGTTTCACAGGTAAAATTATCGAGAAAATGGCCGCCAAAGTTTGGAAACTTTTATAGCTTGAGAGTCCTTGAAAACTGAAAATTTACATATTTTGTGCCATTAATCAACGTTTTTCAGTAAAATTCACATGGAAATGTGTTTTTACATGGACATAAAATGTGTTGAGCTAAAAAACAAAATATGATAAAAATTGCCAAACTGAAGGAACATGCCTGTTTCTTTGATTTCATTACTTTGAAGAGTGCCTGATTCCACCATGATGCTTCACATATATATAT